TGAAAAATGCACACAGCCTATCATTGTAGCCAAATCTTTCTTATGATGGAGCCTGGAACAAGACAAGGCGAAGGCAGAATTCTGCTACCGTAGAAAGGCAGTAAATTCTGTGAGCAATCTGCAAGGAGTATCCCTCTGGAAACATTATTTTAAAAGAATAAGAGAGGTGATGGAAAAGCCCAGGAAATGATTGTTCTTGGTTGTGAAAAGACAGAAAGCAACATCAGTACAGTCCGATGCCATCACCTTTTCATGTGGACTGGAACGGTGCATGAAAACATGGAGGCTGCAATCATCTCCATTGTTCGTGTTGTTAGGTGCGGTCAAGTCATTTCTGACTTATGGTGACCCTATGAATGAAAGCCCTCCAGATTTCCTAACCATAGCAGCCTCGCTCGGCTCTTCTAAATTCAAGGCTGTATGAAGTCAGTCCATCTCTGATTTGGTCTTCCGTTCTTCTGCCCTTGACTTTCTCTAGCATGATGGCGTTCTCCAGGAGTTTTGCCTTCTTATGCTTTGCCCAAAGTATGATGGCCTCAGTTTTGTCATTTTTGCCTCTTGGACACACATCTTGACATGGTGAACGGGTTTGAGAGCATTAGGGAGTGATGACGCCAGGAGCACAGACTGCCTCATTAGGCTGGTCTCCAAGTTAGGTCACCCAAGGTGGAATGATCAAAGCTGAGGAACCAAAGTACCTTCTGGTGGATCCCTTCCTCCATTGGCAAGAACCTCACCATGAAGCTCTTTCCAGCTATGGTTGAAATTTCCCACAAAGCCCTTGCTATTCTGCCACTCCAGGGCATTGTGGGAAATTGGAGTAGGGTAAGCCCTCCCACTTTAATTTTTTAGACTGCACCATGATGCTGTAAGATCAGGAGAAAGTGTGAGAAGCAATGAATGGCTATAAATAGGGTTGACCAAAGGCAACAATTCCGTCTTACCTTGTTCTTGTATCTCCTGTAGTGTCTTCTGTAGAAATTGACAAGAACGTTAAGAACAGCACAGATAAATGTATCACCTGCTAAAGTCTGCCAATTGAGTTCTTGTTCAAAATCCAGGAGCTTGATACCTTGCTTTTAACAAAGTATGAATCATCCTGGATTGCAAATGCATTCTTGGGGGGAGGGGTCCTGTTTAGCAGTCACAATAAGAATGCAGCTATAGCTATGATGTCGACTGTTATCGGCGGCTGTGACCACTGCCATGTTTTGCATGGAGAGGGCTGCCAGCACCAAAAGCACTTGTGCTGCACCAGGATGCCAGATGGAAAGCATTTATATCACCAGCCAGGCCCAGTTATTATCATTGTGTTTGCAGTATGATTTTTCCCTTAACTCTAGCATAGTAATTAAAGTCTTAACCAATTTAAATTAATGCTTTTTCCCTGCAAGGCATTTAAATACAACAGTTACTAATTTCCTAGCCCATTCAGTTGCTTTTGCACACAAACACGCATGCACATGTATATATACGAGAGGAAGGAAAGTTGGGACGGGACGGGACGGGATGCAGAGAGGCAGGGCTTAGGCGAATGGGGCGGCATATAAGTCCGCTAAATAAATAAACAAACAAACAAATAAATGAGCGGAAACAAAGCCAAGCATGGCGCACAGAGGTGGTAGCAGGGAACAAACCAAGGCTACAACCCTTGGGGGGCAAGTCGAAAGAAGCCGCTGTCGCAGAAGGACTTCCTTAAGGCAATGCCCAAGAGAAAGAAGGAGAGGCGGTGGAGTGGTGACGCCCGAATGAGAACACGTGTTACCAGAAGGAGCCGCAATCGAATGTTGCCGCGTGGAATGCACCTGCTCACGGTTCCAGGCAGCCCCCTTCCATTCAGGGCTCACTCCCACCTGGTTTTCCTCCCCACGATCCCTCCCAAAAGTCAACAGGATTGCATCACCAAAAAGAACAAACAGTAGCAAAGGAAATCTGCGTGACATCTGCATATCCTGCTTCATGGGCCGAGATGCCACATTAGCAAGGGGCACAGTCCTTGCTCCCCAGGGAGAGGATGAACGGCCAGATGAGCCAGTGGCCTCTGCTCCATCCGGTCTCCAGGTGCCTCTTCCGATGGGCAGCTCCCAGGCTCCTGCAAGCTTCTCTTATGATGCTTAGTACTGAACTGGGATTGGCTCTGACAAGCGGTGCTGAACCAGTCTCGGGTGGGAGACTGAGTTGCCGTCACAGGGCCCTCTGTTGGGTGACGACATCCAGGTCCGTGGCTTCACCCACTGACCTCATCGGGAGTTTCTGACATCTTGTGGCACCAGTTGTGTTGCTGCTAGTCTTGAAACGTGGCCAGTTGAGCCTTGGAACATATTTATAGGACTGCATGGAACTGCAATGGTTATATTTTCCCCTACATACTGAATGTGTGGGGCTGTTTGATATGATGATGCCAATTGTTATGGATGGCCCAGAGGGAGACTTTTGTGCTGTGTGTTAGTGTCTGTGGTTGTTGAATCACATCCTTGGACCATCCCTGAGCTTGGGGTTCATTTCAATGGAAAGAGGGCACACGCACGGATCAACTGAAGCTGGAAGTATGTCTCATGTGCTCTTTGAGACAAAGCAGGCTAAAAGATAGTGAATGGTGCTTTGTGGTTTGCTCACATGTGCTCAGAAGTCAAGCGATGCTTCTGAGCCCCATTCAAATGTTTATCTTCAAAAACTTGTGGGAGAGATTAAAATAGCAAGAACGGCCACTCTCGGGCACGTGCTTATTAACAGCGCAATCTTGCGTGTGTCTAGCCGAATTTCACCACCTTCAGTGGCTCTTTACACCTTGATAAAAGTGTATGGTAATTGTCTAAGAGGTCTCTAAGTAACACGGCATTGTGATACGTATCTAGGCAGAGGTGAGTCTCAATGAGTTCAATGAATCCAACTTCCTGGTAAATATATACTGGATTATAGTGTAAATATTTAAAAGGGAAAATACTGTTTACCTCTCTTATTATTTCATTCATATCCTGCTTTTCTATAACTACGTACAACACAATGAACATCAAACAATTTCCATCAAAACAACAACAAGCAGAATGAAAGCAATACCAGGAGCATGATAAAGAGCAGAATTTGACAGAAATGCTCCAAAACGTCCCTATCTATTGAAAAGCAATGAGTTTGCAAGACCTGCCTATCAGAAAGGAAATCCAATGGCTCTTCTGTTGAGGAAGGTTGCCACCACCAAAAAGGCCCAGCTTCTCTCTCTCTCCATCTCTCCCATGCCCTTTATTGACAAGGGTACAGAACCCTGCCTCTTCAGCCGAGCCCAGCACTCAGACAGTTTCAAAGCAGAGAAAGCAGGCTTTGAGGCAACCAAATCTGAGACCATACCTGAGGCCATAAAATACAGATAATGATCTACTGGTGACAGCTACCAGAATAAGCAGGCCCTGGATATAGAAGGGCAATGGAGCACCTGTTGCATTTAAGTATGTAAACATTGCATTCTTGTTTGGCTAGGCATTTGGACTATTTTAAGTTTGCATTCTGCTGCTGCACATATAGTAATTGTTTCTAGGCCTTGCTCTGGGTTTTAACTTGTAAGTTTGTTGTTTGTATTGTATTGTGATTGTATACATTCAGATTTGCTTTTCATCTACTCATCACAATATTTATTGACTTCACTTCCAACCAGTAGCCAATGCTCCCCAGGCCATTCACGAAAAGCCCCATTTTAAATTCAACATGCAAGGAAGGCCCACAGCCTCCATCAGGGAAAGTTCATGATTTAGAAGTGGCTGATATCTGTCATTATCCATTTTTATAATGATTTTTGTGTGTGTGCTGAAATGTTTTTGGCTGATCAGAAGAAATACATAACACACCAAGTTTCATCATTTGCAATAGCTGCATTCAGTATCACATGGGATGATACATAATTGTCAAGTGGTGCGGATTACTTGATTTGAGTAGTTTGAAGCCCCCCCGCCCCCCGCTGCCTCCTTCCCTCCTGTGCTGCAATTAGCTTTGCTTTTAAGCAAGGTTCTAGGAAGATGATTCAGGCTGCAATCTTGCCCTCACTCACTCACCTGGGAATAAGTCCAAATTGAGCTCAGTGGGGATCACTTAGAGCAGGCAATGTCGGGGATCGCGCTGTCATGCTCCGTGGGATCCTATGCTCACTAACCAGAGGGCAAATCCCATTGAATTTAGTGGCGTTTCCTTCAAAGTGGAGACGACCAGGATCGCCCCGTCAGGCTGCAAATCTGCCCTCACCCTGCGCCCAGTGCTGCTTGCTTCGGGGTCGGCGCATGCAAGATTTCCCGGGCTGGCACCCGGGTGCAACTGGACGGACGGGGGGCCCTTTGCGTGGCGAGTGCCTGCTGCCTCTTAGTCGCCTCCTCCCCCGTGGCATCCCTGAGCCGCTCTGGGCCAGCCCTGCCCTGCCCTGCCCGGCTCGGTGCCCCCGCGCACCCCACCGGGGGGGCCGGGCCTCCGCCCCAGAGCGCGCCCGTCCGGCGCATCCCCTTCGCTTCGCGCGCCGAGCGAGGTCCGGCCGTCTTCCTGCAACGGGGCGAGGGGCGAGGGCAGGGCAGGGCTGGGCAAGGCGGCGGGGGGGAGAGCGATGGGGGCGGGCGGCTGCCCCGCGCCCTCCCCGGCGGCTCTGCCCGGCAGGGTGAGGAGGAGGCCCCCAGCGCGAAGCCAAGCGGAGACGCGCGGCCGAGGGAAGCGCGCCTGCCCCGAGTCCCGCTGGACCTCGAGTGGGGGCAGCGCAGGAAGCGGACCGCTCCCGCCCGGGCCCGCCCCCCCCCCCCCGCCCGCCGCCTGGCTAGCCCTCAAAAGAGCCAGCGCCGCCCGCCTCGCTCTTCGCTCCGCCCGTGCAGACAGCCCAGCGCGTTGCTCGGCGCGGGCGGCGGCGGCGGCGGCGGCGGCTCCTTCTGGGGAGGCTGGCCCGGCGCGGAGCGGGTGGGTGGGTGGTCGGGCGGGCGCGCAGCCCCTTCCTCCCCTCGCTGGCTCGCCGGCTGCAGCTCGCCCGGCATCGCGCGTCTGCCCGCGGCGCCGCTGCGCAAGCCGGAGCGGTGCCTGCCTAGCCGGAGCGGCTCCTCCTTCGCGCCACCATGGATTCGGACTCCGGGGAGCTGAGCGACGGGGAGCTGGTTCCCTCGGCAGGTGAGCCGGCGCTTGGCGGGCCCTCTTGGGGCGCCGTTGTCCCCGGGCTGCCCCCGCGAGGGACGATCGGGAGGGGCGGAGGCCGGGGGGCGGCAGCTGGGGAGCCCCGCGCGGAGCGAGGCAGCCCGGAAGGTCCCCGCGCCGGCTGGCTTGGCAGCCGCGCGGTTCCTGGCGAGGGAGCGCGCCCGGCGTGCGGGCGGCCGCGGCCAAGTTGGAGGGCGGCCGGCCGGCCGAGTGCCACCGTTCACACGTGGTCTGCGCTGGCTGGCTGGCATGGGCGGGGGAAGACTTTTCTGCACTTGAGCAGAGGCCCTCCGGTTGAGGCAGGTATCGAAATCATGCGGACCTGTAACTTGCGCTCTCGGTGGAGTTTGCAGAACGAGCTCTTCGCTAACGCCCGGGAAGAACTTCTGGGGGTACTCATCCAGCGAAATAAAATAAACGCTGCCGTCACGGATTGGATGCAAGCAGGGACCTTGTCGAGAGCATTGTGGGTGGAGGATTGGATTTCGATTTGGGAGCACTCTGTGGATAGCCTCACTCGAGGCTTATTCTCTCACCCTAACCTACCTCACAGGGCTGTTGTTGCTGCTAAACGAGGAAGAATGGTTTGATCTAATCACTATATTCTCAGCTGGAATTTCCGGATCCCGTTTGTGCACCAGACATAGGTTTAGACTTCAAGCCAAAGCAGGTGCACGCCAGGGACAGCCCTGGCGGGCGTTTAAAACTGAGAGGTGTCTGAAGGCGCCTGTTCCTCTGCCAAAGCCTTGAACACCTGCTGGGCCTTGGCACCTTTGGAAAGGCTCCATACAATTTTTGCTTCGAGCAATAGATTGTGCCTGTTCCAGAACAGACCTCAGACAGTGACAAAAAAGGGTTTTCTGGGGCTGAGCTTTGGGGAAATTAAAAACAGTGATTGTATGGAAAGGTGTGAGAATGGGTTGCATAGCTTCAGGAAAGAAGGAACCTCTAGCATCACGAAGATCCTTCCCTTTGCCGCAATCGCTCTTAGCACCTGCAGCAGCCGCTGACACCGTGAAGGTAAAAAAAGACTCAGAAAGCAAAGCTATCGTCAGCAGAATAATCTACAGGTAGTTGATAAAGGGAAGTGCCCACGAGGTCACGTTTTGAGGACTGATTGGGGTTAGTTGTGCTTAGAAAAATGAATCAGGCGGGCTAATATCGGCTCTGACCCATTAAGGGGTGTGAACGGCAGAACAGTCGTCTGGGAAGAGACAATGGGCCCATGCAGTCCAGCATCCTCTCCTCGCAATTTTTATCGGTGCTTCTTCTTTTCTGCAAAGAAGGTGGTACTCAAGGTAGGATCGGGGCTGACCTGAAGCCCACGGCATTCCTGCAAGCAGGGCAGGAGGGCGAAAGCCCCCTCTTGCTCTTGTCCTCCGGAATCTGGGATTCCATCAAGCGATCCGTCCGAGATGTTAGAGGGGGTTAGAGCTGTTCTTCTCCCCAAACCCGTATCTGTTCCCCTTTGAAAGTCTCTAAAAGTGCAATCCGATGCATGCTCAGCCAGACATCCTGTGGTTTCCAGCATGCTCTGGCCAGCATGAACAGGATTGTGCCCCGAGTCACTGACATGGGGCACATCCTGCAGCACTGGTTCTCCTGGACCACGTGTCATCTCACGTTCTTGCTCAGAGGACGACTGAACCGATTAAAATACAGCACCATGCATCTGTTTTTGAACAGTCCCTATGCTGGAGCTAATTTTAGACTCTCTTTAGATGAGATGCTTTAGACTACAACCCCCATCTTCCCTGACCATATCCAGCCTGGCTGGGGCTGATGGCAGCTGCAGGACACAACATCTGGAAGGCACCAGCTTGGGAAAGGTGGCTTTCAGTAGTCATGGGGAGCCATTGATGTAAGGCCGGGGGGGGGGGGTCTCCTCAAAGTGCTTCTTGATAGCACCACTCTGAGAAACAGCTTTGCAGGGACAATGAACACCCGGCGAGAGGGTTGGGCTGGGCAGAACAGGTCCATCCTGTATCTACCCGCCATCAAGAGCAGCTCGCCAAGGGCATGTCTCGCACATATCCTGTGCTATTTATTTCCTCGGGCATTCAAGGGTTTTTCACTTTCTGTTCCTTTAAACCTGTTACTGCATTTCAATTCTTCCCCCTGCTGCTCGGCGCTTGTTTCCATTTTAGCCTGTCATCTCAAACGGGTACACTTTTCTGGTGTATTTTACCAGGTTGCATTTTATGGTTTAATTGTTGTGAAGCACCCAGAGAGCTCTGGCAATTGGGCAGAATAGAAATGAAAGAAAGAAGGAATCAGTTGGGTGTGTGCAGATGTGGTTTTCTACTTATCACCCACTGTAGAGCTGTGTTCAGAAGCTACCAGGGATTCTTAAGCAGTCTGTTGTGGGGTTCTTTTGGAAGAACCCCTAAAGCTACAGAAAAGTTCACTGAAGCTCCCTTGCCCCCCAAAAAAAGTTTAGGGCACAATCCTATGTATGCTCAGGCAGAAAAAAAAGACCTACAATACCCAAGAATTCCTGGCTGCAGTTGTGGGACAGCGGCTCCTGTCTAAACATGCATCCAGTTGTGATCCTAAGTGACTTTAGTCCCATGTGTGTAAAGATGGGATCACACAAGTAAAGAGGTGATACAGAAGAGAAGTCTGCTAGTTGGTCCAAAACCATGGGATGCTTATACCCAGAGAAAGATCCTCGTGCCGTCCACTTTTCCCCCTTTCTTGTGCTTGTCTGTAAGGGCCTTCCATCATTTGAGATGATGTGCCCATATGACGCTCCGAGGCTTCAACCTCAGCAAGTTGCTTCCATCACCTGCTCCCTGGTCCTTCCACCAGGCCAGGGAACCTTCTGCAGAGCAAGATGTGCTTTAGCAGAGCGTGAGGGTCCCTGCGTTCGTTGCTGGGCACCCCTCTCGCCATGCACCTGTTACGCTGCAAAGTATCTGGGGGTAGCCTGACCCGGAAGGAGCAATGAAGACCAGCGACTTTTACCAAGGAGCTGCTTGGGCTGCAGATGAACACTGCTGGGATTGGTTTGTTGATGCGGTTCAGTGTTGTGGTTGTTGTTATGTGCCGTCAATTTATCCCCAACTTATGGCAGCCCTATGAATCAAAGCCCTCATCCAGGACAGCCCTCTCAGTGCTTGCAAATTCAAGGCTGTGGCTTCAATATATCTCAGATTCGGATGGACCAACAGAGGTGCCTAAATTTTGGGCTTCTCCTTGGCATAGCCACAGGGACAGTGATGATGAACACCTGCGCTTCAGTATGTACCATGACAGCACTACTTTTATTTATTAGATGTATAACTTGCTGTTTTCTTAAAGTGGCTTTCATCCTTCTCCTCCTGTGACTCTCAGTCATATCCCCACAACAACAACCCTGTGGGGTAGGCTGGGCTGAGTCCGTGACTGGCCCAAAGTCACCCAGTTGGCTCCATGGCCGAGCGGGGACTGGAACCTGGATCGCCTGAGCCCCAGTGCTGCAGTCTAACCCCTGCACCACACTGGCTCTTCCTCTGCACAGTTAAGTGCCTCTCAAATGCTCCAGGATGTTTTGTGGTTGGTGCCTGAGAAGCTTTGTGTTGAGGCAGGGATAGCTCCCTTGGGACAATGTTGGCTTGTATGAGAATTTGCCTGTATTGGCTTGTGTAATCTCATATCACCTGCACCCTTTCAGGTGACAGTTCCCACCCTGCCTGTCCATTGGCCATGCTGGGAAATGGGGCTTCTAGTCCAACAGCATTTAGAGGGCCGCATGTTCTCCACTCCTAACTTTGGAATCATCATGCACAATAAAAATGGAGCCTCCATACTCAGTTGCAGTATGCATCCTAGTTGCTAAGGGGTATCAGGAATATGGGAGGGCAGTTCCTTTGGAGGGCTGCTTACAGGTTTCCTGTCACATCCCTGGTGGCTGAGGGAATGGATATTGGGTTGTTGGGTTTGTTGTGCTTCTCCGAGCCTTCGAGATGTTCCTTGTGGCTGCATGCATGCCATCAAAGCCAGGATCCGTGGTATTGAGTTTTGAAGGATAGGCATCCACCAAAAAGCCATTGCAGCATCGTTGATGTCACAGATGGGACACTGACAGTGCCAGTCTCACTATTTTCTGTGCCTATTTCAACTAGCCTTGTAGACAAGCAAAGCTGCTCATCCATACAGTGGTGTGGATCTTACTGGCTGATCTGCCACTCTGAGCTTTGCTTGTCATTTTCGCGCTGCTGGCCTGATAAAAGAAGGCACCAAGGATGAGAGTAGATGATGTGCTGAAGCATCCTTGCCCCCACCTGGGGTTCTCCAGATGTTTCGAACTTTTCCCTGGTCAGCGTGGCCAATAAACAGGAATGTGGGGAGATTTACTCCAAGCATCTGCAGGGTCCCGGGATGGGAAGGTGGCTCTGAGGGGCAGTTGCAGCAGTGAGATGATCCATTTGCTCCCGGCCACCCGGACGGAGGGCAGGGCGGTCACCGGGGTCAGCATGATCGGGCACCGCGTGTGGCCTCCGTGCCCAGAGGGGGCCCACTGCCTGTCCTTCTCCACCTGATCACCTGCCCAGGCTGAGCAAGCACGCAGCAAAATAAGTGATGGGAAAGGAGCACTTTTACTCCACATGTGCTTCGCCTCTCATTCCTTGAGAGGTGGTGCTAGTTCGGGACCCCGAGAAGAGGCAAGCAAATAGGTCTGGGTGCAGAAAAACCCAAGTACCTCCCCTCGCCCCCCACAAAGCTGTCTCTTTACAAAAGTTCCATCCAAGATGCAGATACGGGAGTCGGGTTGATAGGTACATACGAAGCACCCTGCTGGATCGGACCAAGACCCACCGACTCCAGCATCCTGCTCACACAGCGGCCAAGCAGCTGCCCAGTGGGTCCCAAAAGGAGCACGTGGGCACGGCAGCACCTGCCTGGCCACGTTCTCCAGAAGCCGGTGCCTCTGAGACACCCAGACCAGCAGCCATGGCTGGTCTTCGCCGCCATGCATTTGTCCACCCGCTTGC